ACCGAATAGAAATAAGTATTATTGTGCAAAAGGAAGGAAATGACTCGTTTTCTTCTTGTAGGCGTTGAGTGGAATTTCCTTAAACCTTGTAATGATACAAATTTAGCGACTCAACTGTTTTTATGCATCTTCTTATCCCACACATCACACCTGTTAATGAAGTACCAAGTCTATAATCCCAACAGATTCGATGCAGTTGTCACTAAGCAGGTATCTTTCGCTGTAATTATCTTTCTTCCCACTCATACCTGAGATTGTATGTGTGAAATATAGTTTCGAAATTAAACATTTTCATAATAGGTGGCGGGTGTTGATCTATAGCGGTAGCGTAATGGCTATCAGCAAGAAAAATGGATACATTGAAGTGATCTCGAATTTTGGTTAAGAATATCTATATTACTTTTTCACTGTTTACATTATTTACATCTGGACTATTCTTCTCACTTTGTTGATTATTATCACAACTTTTTGACCGTTGTGTCTTCCATCCTTCAACGAATAAAGGCTGGATAGCATAATGGCCGAAACGTTGTGATAACAATAAAGATGAGGAAATAGTTCGTTGGTAAGTATTGGATGCAACAGAAATGTGTTTATACAGAAGAATGCCGAGAATTCCAAGGATTGAAGATGTGAGCAGCAAGGAAGATTTAAGGAAACTAGAAACAAAAATGTTTATATTTAGAAACAGAAAGAGACAATTGTGATGTTTAGGGCACATAAGGAGAAAAGAGGGCTTGGGAAATTCACAGGACATTAACGGCAAGAGAGATAAAGGAAAGAATAGTGAATAGCTTACCTAACGAGCATGTGCAAATTTTTAGCAGAATGGGGTTTATGAGAGATACCAAAGAGACAAATCTTATTAAGACCTGCAAACGTGTGGAAGTGGCAGGAAGCTACGGTCACAAACGTCCTGAAAGGGCACAGAACATAGAAGATAATGGAACCATTTCTAATCGGAAGTCAGGTGTGACTTTCAAAATTGGAAAAATCTTAAATCCACAATGTTTTCTGTCCAATAACCTCTAGAATCATTTAATATAACCATTAGGATAATACATCATTAATAAACATATATATATGGTTGAGCCAAAGCATAACACACGACTTGAAGATTGCGTTCAAACATGAAACAGACTGTCTCTACTCGGTGTTGACCCCAGTTCCTACCTTTATATTTACATTCGCTCTAACCCTTACATAAAGCACTTTTACTCATAAATATAGCAAAGCTTAAAACTATATTTTTATCTTATATATATATATATATATATATATATATATATATATATATATATTAAAATCAGTATCACACCAAGCAAGGCAGTAATGCCACTAAAACACATGGTGTTACAGTGTGTGGAAGAATTAGGAACAGAAACAATAATAATAAACAGAAAGAGATTAGAGTAATCAGGAAGACGGTAGATAGCGATTGACATTGCATTTAAATTTTTACAGATTAAAGTTGGCTGGAAAGCATGGAGCCAGAAGAGAGTTCCACAAGCGAGAGGTGCGGGAGAAGAAACTGTTAGCATAGAATTTACGGCTACATCTAGCCGGCTCAACTATAAATTGATGAAATCCTGACGCCAGTGCTGCGCTTAAATTCAAAAAGTCTAGGTACCATAGCGAAGGGCTTATTCGAACAATTACCGTGAAAGTATTTATAGAAAAGACATAGAGAGAAAACCTTGTGGCAGTGAGAAAGTGACTGGAGATGAAACACCAAATCAAACCAATAATATTGCAGATTCTTCTTTGGATCTTATCAAGAAGCTCAAGGTAAAGAGCAGGGGCACCGGACCATATGTGGCAGCAATATTATAAGTATGGACGAATGGGAAACTTATAGATATGTAAGATAGGTTCAGAAAAGAAAAAGAAATGTCTCGCTCGACATAGCGAACAGATTTTCTTAGAAGCTAACCTAGCAATGGGTTCACAATATAGTTCTCCACTTCATATCAGCAGAGAACGTGAGCCCGAGAAGGCGCAACGAGTCACTTTTCTGGAGGTTAGCATCAGCCGTGCTGATGGAAAGCAGCGTGGGGTCTCTCTGATGATCAATGGAAAGAAGTTTAGTTTTTGAAGCATTAAAATTAACAAGCCATCTTTTGCCCCAGTTAACGATGGACTTGGGGTCGTTTTGGACATCGGCTGATATTTGACTTTGTCGGACTGATCAACGTTACTATCGAGGCAGGAGTAAATGGTTTTGTCATCTGATGTCATCAGGAAGGTCATTAATGAAAATTAGAAATTAAAACCAAGGATGGAGCCCTGGGGGAAACCTGAGTTAGTACGAAAGGATCTAGACAAGTGGCCATTCAGAATAAATTTCATTTCACGCTTTGAAAGGAAAGACTGGATCAGTTCAAAAAAGTGTCCAGAGGCACTGAAGCTTTTCAGCTTGTGGAGAAGACCTGAATGCCAGACCCTGTCAAAGGCTTTCGAGATGTCCAATGTTACAGCCCGGGCATCACCGTTTTATCTAGAGCATGATAGACTCTTTCCGTACATCGTCAGTACATCAGCAGTTGACCTCAAGAAGCGAAAGCCATATTCCTTGTCTGAGAAAAGGCTCTCCGATGAGAGATGATGAACCAATTCAGCATTGATCAGAGCCTCTAAGGGTTTACGCAAAAGAGATAAAAGGCTAATAGTTGGAAGTATCAGACAGTTCACTAGAGTTATTAAAAAGTGAAACAGCAGATGATGACAGGAGGCAGCGAGGCATTAGAGAGAACAGGAGCCAGTTCGGGAGCACACTTCTTAATGACTATTACAGGGATACAATTGACTCCACATGCTTTGTGGAGATTTAGGTTAGAGATGAAAGCTGAAATCATGGAAGGGGTTATATGCATATAACTCAACAGAGATTCAGTCCTAGGAGGGAAGATAGGCAGGGATATTCCGGATGAGTCATGAGAAGAGTTTGAGAAGAATTTACAGGCAACGTATTCAGCTTTAGCAGCGGAGGATGATAACATTTCATATTGATTGAAGAGGGGAGTAATAGGTACCTTAGACTTATTTAATATCCTATTACAGAGTCGGCAGTAATCGCGAGAGCCAAAGCTGTTAGAAGCTATGCGATGCTTCATTCTCTCGACAAACAGACTTAGCTCCTTTGAGGATTCGCTTACATTTATTGCAAGCAGCAACGTATAGGCGCCTGTTGTGACAAGAACTGTTACGCTGGTATAGTCGTAAATAGTGGTTTTTGTGTACTATAGCAGCCGAGCTTGTGTGAACCGTGGAGAAGATTGAGGTTTCACTTCGTATTTCTGAGAAGAGATGAAAGAATCCATACCGGCTTTGATCCAAGAAGAGACCTTAGTGGCCCAATTTTCATTTAGGAGTTTAAAGATATCAGTCCAAGGGGCATCATGGAGAAAATCACAGAGTGTGTCCCAGTCAGGATGCTGATAACGGAAAGAGGTTTTGATAATGGGAGGTTCCTGTTTAATAGAGGATTAGAATGAAATATCAATAGCTACCACAGAATGATCAGAATTACCAAAAGGGCAGTGTTGCGAAACTCGGCAAGAGCGAAGAGAGGAAGTAAGAAATAAATAAAGTAGAGAAGAATGTTGTTCAGTTTTGCTAGGGAAACAAATAGAAAAGTCCACGATTTGCGTAAGGCATTGGGCAATGGAAAAATTTAATATCTGAACACCGGCAACATTAGTACCTTTAGAATGTTTAAGCCACATATTGTGGTGAGCATTAAATTCACCGAAGACAAAGATGTTTGCAAATGGATACTGTCACCAATTATGTTTAATATACAGCAGTCCTGGGAAGAGGGGGAGTAATAAAGGAAAAAGAGATAGCTAACAGAGTTTAGTAACGAAAGCACATGAAGGAGTAGTCTGTGGCTTCGAGAGACAATTCCCAGGCCATCAGAAGATCATCCCGGATGTAAAATCATTTCACCCCAAACAAGGCGGTAATGCCACTAGTACGCAGGGGTTTATAGAGAGTGCAAGTGAAAGAGATTAGGCGAGATTAGGCAGGATTGAGGAAAGGACAAAAGATAAAATGGGTTCAAGAAGATGTTGATTGACGTTGTATTTAAATTTTTGAAGATTTGGGTTATCAGAGAAGCAAGGAAACGGAAGAAAGTTCCACGTACAAGAAAGGAAGCTGTTGAAATAGAAATGGCGGTTGCATTTAGCTATTTCAACAGCAAAAGGGCGGGACCTAGATGCCAATGTAGTAGCACGCTTAAATTCATGTATACAGGACGCCAGGGAAAAAGCTCGTCAGAGCAGTTGCCGTGAAAACATTTGTAGAAAAGACAGAAGCAAGCCACGTCACGTGGGTAAGAAAGTGACTAAAGTCGCGATGCCTGGTCCAAATCGATAACATTACAGATCCTTTTTTTTTTTTAGATTTTATCAACATGTACAGCAGGAGAACAAACCACATGTAGCAACAGTATTCAATGCATGAACGAATGGTAGATTTGTAAATGCGTAAGATATAGTCTGGGAAAAACGTTTCTGGTACGACACTGTGACCCAACTTTTCTTGCAGTAAATACAGCTGTTGATTCGAACGCGAAGCCAAGAAGACTTAATGCATTGCTTTTAGCGTCGGCCATACTGATGGCAGGTAGAAAAGCTTATCTGTGGTGGTGAAATGAAAACAGTTTTGTTTTGTAGGCGTTAAAATTAAGCCATTTATTGGCCCAGTTAACCACTGATTGGGGTCTCTTTCCAAGAGCTTTGTTACATTTGATAGATTTGTTACGGAAACAAGAGTAAATGGTAGCGTTATCTAATTAAATACCTAGTTGGGAACTGTTGATATCGGAGAGATCATTGATGAATATCAGAAACAGCATAAGATCCAGGATAGAGGCTTTGACTCCCCACCTACGTTCATATGAAAGGATCTGGAAGCGAGTCCGTTCAACACGAACTTCATTTCACGATTTAATAGGAACAACTGGACCTGGCGAAACGGAAGTCATATTGTTTGTC